TAGAAGACACAAATTTGACTAACAAGTTATAAGTGCATGAGTCAAAAATTATGGAAAAGTAAAAAGAGCAGTTTTTAGGGCTGTTGTAAATAGGGTCGCTATGAGTCTCAAGCAATTCAACAGCACATAACAACAACATATTAGGAAATGGCAAATGATTGATTTGGAAACCTGGAGAAAGCTAGTATATTTGAGCCATAGTTAATTTCATATACATTCTCTGATCCATAACTAAGCCGAGAGACATTTGTACTGATAGAAATCAGATTCATTTTATTGTAGACCTCTCTGAAAATTTTCATTATTAATAGGCATAGCCTTTAATTTAATCTCATCTTATAACTCTTCAGGTTAGGAGGATTATGAGGACTAATTTAAAAGATCTGTGTGATTACTGTCAAGCACAATCTATGCATAAACCTTGGAAGAGTCCAATTTCAATCACATAAAATAATAAATAAAACTATGCTCCATAAACTCTTTGTTGAATCTGAACAAACTTGTAGCTAATCTTACAGCTGGTTTTCTGGAGTCTCTAAATTGCATGGGAGGAGATTGTCCAGAGGTGCTGCCACCAGAGCTCCCTAAGACCATATAACACATGAATAATGTTCAGAATCAGACCTTAACATCACTGCAATTCTTATTTGGAGCTGAGTTCTCTCCAGCTCATGCAGGTTGGTGGTAGAGTCAGTTTCTTGCAATTGTATTACTGAGGTCTCTGTCACTAGGGTTCCTATTCAGTTTCTATATTTTGTTGTTTCTAAGGTGGGTTTTTAAAATTATTATTAAATTAAAGGCACACATAAAATTGGAGCTGCTCCAAATTTTATTCTGCTGAAGAGAGCTCACTCTTTCATTTGCTGAGAAGTGAAAATTGTGGCTGATCACCTTAATTCTTTCAGAGACTGTTGAGTCAATAGCCCTGGAAATGCTTAGTCTACATCTAATTCATCCCTGGGCCTCTGGTATTTTCATGAGAACTTGGAAATACTCTGGAATTTTCATATGAGAATCTCAGAATTTGAAAAATGTCTTGAGGGGACAACTGGTAATATTCTTAGGACCCAACCAATCTCCACCAAAATCTACTGGCTTCTTTCTTCCCCAGCAGCAACTGGATGTCATTATATAACAAGTACAAGTGACATGCTTAGAAGGAAGCATTTCTGAATGATTGTGAATAAAAGGTCAGGATACTGCATATTAAGAAAATGTTAACTAAAACAATGGCAGCATAGCAGTGTAATTTTGGTTAAAATGTGATTCTTTGAGATCATAATGGGGGGGGGAATCAGAAGTCAGTACCAAAGATAAAGACAGCCCCTCCACTTTCACTTTCAAATTTAGAAAAGGAAGAGAAAAGAAAATAATTCATAGATCAAAAAAGAAAGAATATAAATTATAAAATATTAAGAATGAATAATTTAGATATGAGACCCTGTCTTATTTTGGAAAATCTCTTTTGGTTCCTGGCCATAGGCAAGTATATAACCCCTGTGGAATGTTTTCATGTAATCATGATAACTTTGACTACATCAAGAGTGAAAAATATAATAGGAACCAATAAGTAATCCAGCTAACAAGAATTTTTATATAAATGTAAGTGATATATTAAACAGTAGAAAAATGGAGACTTCCAATGAAGAATTAAAATATATTTTTATTATGGTGAAATATATATTCCAAAAGGTATGTCATAGCAACAATAGGATGTATTTTTGAAGAACAGAATAAAATTGAAACTTCTGAATTTAAAATGATTGTATAGCAGCCAAGACATGGCAAAATGCTGTTTAGTGACCCAAAAGGTAGGTATATTGAAAATACCAAAACTGACACACTCAAAACTCAAACTTACTGCTATCAAGTTGGTTCGACTCCTAATGATCATCTATGGAGTTTCTGAGGCTGTAAATAAAAATGGGAGGGGGCTGCCCATCTTATTCCCCTGCAAAGCAGCTGGTGAAGACAAACTGCTAGTGACTATACTGCCAGAGCTCCCGTAAGCTGATAGAAGGAAAGAAAAATGAATACTAAACTAAGGCCTTTCTTCCTTAATAGGCTGTGAGCCATGGGGAGAGCATTGGAAACTTCCTCTTTTGCCAACACCTTTTTATGGCCCTGTACATAAGGAACATTAATTGTTGTTAGGTGCCATTGAGTCAAGTACAACTCATATCAACCCTATGAACAACAGATCTGAACCCTTTCCTACCCTGTGACAACTTCATCATCCCTGACACAGTTGAGCCCATTGCTTCAGTCTCTGTTTCAACTCATCTCCTTGAGGGTCTTTCTCTCTTTCACTGACTCTTCATCTTTCCAAGCATAATGTCTTTTTCTAAGGACTGTTACCTCCTAATTACGTGCACAAAGTATGTGACACAAAGCTTCACCATTCTCCCCTCCAAGGAGCACTCTGGCTTCACATTCTCTAAGCCAGATCTGTTTTTTCTTTTAGCAGTACATAAGGTATTCAGTACTCTCCTCCAATAGCACAACTCAAAGGCATTGATGATTCTTCTGCCATCCATAGTAATTGTCCAGCTCTCTGATGAATAGCAAATGATTGAGAAGACCATGGCCTGAACCAAGTGTGCCTTACTCTTCAAACTAACATCATTGCTCTTCAGCATTTTGGACTGGTCCCTGTCAGTGGACTTTGCCAATATAAGATGTCTCCTGATCTCCTGACTGCTGTTACCAAAAGTATTGATTGTGGATCCAAGCAAAATGAGGTCATTGACAATTTCAATCTTTTCTTCATTTATTATGATGTTGCCTATTGGTTTGGTGGTGAGAATTTTTGTATTCTTGATGTTGAGATGTAATCCATATTAAAGGCCATAGATTTTGATCTTCTGCAGAAAATGTTTCAAGTCCTCCTCACTTTCAACAATCAAGGTTGTGTTATCTGCCTGAATCTTCCTCCGATCCTGTTGCCACATTCTTCTTCATAGAGTTCTACTTTGGGAATTATTTGCTCAGCATAGAGAATGAATAGATATGGAGAAAGAATACACCCTGACACACACTTTTTAGAATTTTAAACCATTTAGTGTTCTCTTAGTAAGGTGTTGGAAAAGAGCACTGAATGTCCCATGGACAGCCAAAAGAACTAACAAATATGTCTTAGAGAGGATGCAGCTGTAGTGCTCTTTGGAGGCAAGCAGGATGAGGCTTCACCTCACATACTCTGGGCATGTTGCTAGGAGTGGCTATTCCTTAGAGAGAGGCATGGTGCTTGGAAGGGTGGAGGGCCAACAAAGGAGAGGAAGACCCTCAACTAGGTATGGTGACTGCCACAATGGGCTCTAATTTTTCAGGAAGAGTGAAGATGGCACAGATAAGACAAGATTCAGATCTGTTGTCCACAGGGTCGCTATGTGTCATACTCAACTCGACAACAATAAACAACAATAACACTGTTCCCGTGCTCTGTTCATACAACAGCCTCTTGCTGTAGATATAGCTTTTGCATGCACACAGTTATGTGTTCTGGGACTCCCATTCTTCTCAGTGTCAGCCACAACTTGTTATGATCCACACAGTAAAATGCCTTTGCATAGTCAATAAAGCACAAATAAACATTCTTCTGGTATTCTCTGCTTTCAGCCAGGATCCATCTGACAAGAGCAATGATATTTAGTGCCACAGCATGTACTATTCCAGTCAGTTTTGGATTATTTTAAGCAATATTTGGCTTGCATGCGAATAGTAATAACATTGTTTGATACTTTCCACATTCTGTTCTATCACCTTTCTTAGGAATGGGAACAAATATGGATCTCCTCCTGTCAGTTAGGTAGGCAGCTGTTTTCCAAATCTCCTAGCATGAGACTGGTGAACACACCCAGTGCTGTATCCGTTAGTTGAAACATGTCCATCAATATCCCATCAATTCCTGGGACCTTATTTTTTCCAATACCTTCTGGGCAGCATAAATTTCTTCCTTCATCTCTATTGGCTCCCAACCATGTGCTTTTTCCTGAAATATTTCAGTGTTGACTGATTTTTTTTTAATTTTTTTTTTGGTACAGTAATGTGGTATATTCACTCTCTTTTCTTTTTTATTTTTTTAATATTATTAAATTTTATTAGTTTTAATGAACATTTACAGAGGTTTTGGGTTTTCATTCCTTC